CTCTTGGCATGCAAGTCCTGATCTCAGGCTCTTCTAAGGCATAAATAGCCAGAAGCAATTCAGTACTGGCATATCTTCATCAGAACGCTGGGAGCAGAATCATCGGTACAGATTTAGTCATCTACAGTATTGGCATTTACATCTGAGATAGTCATCTAGGTCACCTTCACAACCCATGAGAAATAGTCAATTCTAGAGAACGATCCATTTAATTCAAATGTAGATGTCAGGAGAATCATTCTCTGGAATTGCCTGTTTCTCTCCACTATCTGTCTATAGAGTTTAGGCAATTAGGTCAGATGTGTATTAATTACACACATTTATCCATGAATCCCCAGTTGTGACACCCCAAAGAAGACACCCTCCTCAAAACATCTAAACTTTCCATGATTGGGTTTGTGGTTAGTTCTCAAAGGTGGGATTCTAGTGACCTATGTGAACTCCCTTCAGAGTTCATTTTTTGCCGTGATCTAGTAGAGCTCAGAAGGTTAGAGTAGGGATGAGTGCTGACGAAAGAAGGAATAGATTTACAGAGCCTTTTAGGCAAACACTTTTGATGTCTTACATAGGTTGAAGAAAAGCAATACTCACCCACCTCCAAATGTGAGCAATTCTGTCTGCAAGAGAAGTAATGCACTTTGATTTGTGAAATCTTTTTTCAAGTGTCAGTGATAGTGAACTGTCTGCTAAGACATCCCTTGCATGAAGCTGGGTGGTAAAAGAGACACCATTTCCTCTACTCTGGATCCTGATTTCACAAAGCTGATCAGAACTTTATGTTTAATTGCATCTGTCCAACAAGCTGAAAGGTTACAGCTGGGGACAAGGCAGGAAGGAAGACTAAAAGGCACTGAGAAGAAGACTACTTAAGATGAACTGGAAGAAAGAAAAAATAAAATGAAAGGCAAAGAACATAAAGAAAATGAACAACCCAGCCTGGAAACCACCCCACTGCCACAAAAGAAGCCATTCATTTACATTCGCAAGAAACGCAACAGCAGCTGGAGGTGTCTGGGCACTGCCATTCCACAGATGATGTCAGGCCTGCGGAAGATTTTTCAATTAATCTCTCTTGACCCTCTGCCTTGAACCCTCCTTCCTATTTTTAACAACCCCATTCTGTTGAATGACCTTGGGACCTAGTGACCAATAATGCCCATTTAAGTAACTGCAGGGGTGTCGGTAAGTATGCAAGGAGAATTTGCAAAGGGCTCATTATGTAAAGAGTTAGTTACCACAAAGAAGGACTCTCTCTCTCTCTCTCTCATTCTTGCCTGTAGGCTAGTAGTTGGGGACCTTAAACAGAGACTCAGTGGCACTAAACACACAAGAAATGCTCTAAAAAGGCCATTCTGCATGTAGATGGCTATAGAACTTGGAGAAAAGAAGAAAGGTCATATGAACGTATACCAATCAAACCCATCAGCATCAGGAAGAAAACCATCAAAAACTTCATATTCCTTCTTTCCACTAAAATATCAGATAGAAAAGAATTGTAACTAAAACAAGGAAAAGAAGCACCAGATCTCGTTTTACAGCACAGTGTAGAAACTAACCTCGTCCTGTTAATCATTTTGAAAGACTAACTCTGTAAGGATTTGGCTTCAAGTTCATGTATGTACATTAAATGTATAGTGTGATTTTTTTTTCAGTCACAAGATAATAAAATGCACTAATCTACTTTGCCTCACCGGTGCTACAGAACACAGTTTTGTGCCCACAAGATACATGCTTGAAAATATCCTGGTATAGGTACAGCAATAAGCCTTGGATGCAAACTTAGGTTTTATTCCAGTATGAAAATGTGTGTTATACCCTTCCAAGCATTGTGGGGTTATGAACATGTTTTCTTTCCTGTCTTTAGTACATGTGTTTGGCAGGCTGAAAAATAATGTCTCTGTTTTCTTTGGAGAAAAAAAAAGGGGGGAAGTTACCCTCTGTTGAATGATGACATGATGACAACATGGGAATGAAAACACAATGTACTGTAATGCTATGTAAACCTCTCTGTACTCCTCTGTTGATGGAATGACAACCATCTTGGCCCTCACTCTAGTTTTCAACCACCTATCCTTTCACAAAATGCTCTGGATCAGAGGGGGGAATGACAAGAGATAAGGGCAAGGCTTAAAGAAGAATGAATGATAAACCTGGTAGACTGGATTGGATTTAGAGATACCCACTGCAAGGAAAAGGAGAATTTTCTTTGTAGTGTTCCCATTCTTGGGGTTCTGTAGGTAAGAGCTGAAGAACAGGTAAGAGGATTTATAGGAGTTGTTGGTGATGTTGGATTAATGCTATTAATCAGAACGTAAAAACTGTCATCCTGGGTCAGACTAAAAGTCTGTAACAAAATAACCTGTTTCTGACAGTGACCTGTAACAGATGTTTGGGGAAAGTGTATAAACCCATGGCAATTACAGAGTGATCTTTCCCCTGGCTGTACTCTCGTGTCTGAAATCAGCAGTTTAGAAACTTTCTGGGTTTTCACTTCTCAGACTTGCAGAAGTTTTGCGTGTAAAACGTTACAGAATCCAGCAGTGAAATCAGGCATTGCTGATGTGTACTGGTGGAAGCCATTCTCCATCTTAAGAACGAAAGAGCAGTTTGATAATGTCACTCCAAACAGGCTTTAGTCCTTGACTAAAACCACCACTGACCTATAGTGAGAGCCTGTTATTTTTATTCTGGGATGCCATTTGAGCTCCAGGCCTGTCAGATCTTACCAAAATGCGTGAGCCTACCAACATGTATAAACCTAGTGAGTTACATGCTGAAGGGCTGGATACAGGAAGATTTCAAAGCTCCCTTCTCTGTGAGTTCATAAATTATGATAAACCTGTTCACCCAGCATCTCTTGAAAAACTCTTCTCTATGTAATGTCCTTGTACCACTCTTGCTGGGTCATCGGCTAGCAAGGCGGCCAACACACTCTGCCCCAGTAGCGTTACACAAAACTGATCCTAAGCAGTGATCAAAGGAAAGCAGAAGGGCAAAGCACCAGCAGAACAAAGAAGATAAGGACCACAGAAATCCATCAAATTTTAAAATGCATTGGATGCACTAACGTCTCAGAGGAGACTTAGATAAGGACGAAAGTAGCTCTTCTTACATATTCCTTCAAGGCTGAACTTTGACGCACAGACTTACTTGCTCTCCAACAGGTTTGTTCACCCCTTTGTTCGTTCAAGAGCCTTTTCCTTGTAATGGAGAGATTTAATTTTGCTGACCTCTGTTGATGATTAAAAAATAAGAACTAAAATCGAAGTGCTGCTGTGTGTGTTTCTCTACCAATCATACAAATCTCATTTGCCTCCTATCGTTCTAATTTTATCCAAGACAGACCTGTGTGTGCCTCTAAAACAATCTTGTCACTGCTATGTTCAGGCCTTGTTTCTATATTCCATATTTCCTGACATCAGGCAAAACCTCCCTTTTTTTCTTGTCTATTCCCATTAGTTTCTATTATAGCTGTTTTCTTTCCTTTCCTTATACCTTTTAATTTCCCTTTCTCTCTAATTCACTGTCTCTGTACTGGTATTGTTTAACTCTCAGGAAGTATTTTGGGACATGCTTGATTAAAAAAGATAGAGGAGATTAAATTCAAACAGTTTTATATTTTTACCTCCATTCTTCCACTTTCCCCTGCCAGTATAATATCTGTAATAACTGAAGTATTTATATATTTAGTGTTTTCACAACATTTTTTTCAGTCAAAATATTCTAAATTCATTGGTTTAAAACTAAGAGGTAGTAACATATGTGATGGATCTAAAAAGGATTCTAGATTTCTTCTTTTAAAACATACTGTATTGTTTTAATTGTTTTATTTATATAACAGTCCTCATGTTTTCTGGAAATTTAAAATAAATTCATGTTACAGTTATAACTTCTCTTTGATGTTATGTGGAATGCCTAAAGTATTTTGGGCTTTTATTTCTTTCTTTTCAAGAAGAGTTTGAGGCACTAATGGCATTGACTTATTTACAGAGATGGAATTTTCAGGGGGAAACAATTAGATATGAGGCTTTGGTCATTACAAATTTAACCCTCAGATAATCTTCATTCTCCTTAACTGAAAACTTGAATCAAATGGATTTTACTTGCTTTTTATTCTGTGTATGGAATGGTAGGTTTTTTTCCCCTCCTTAAAAAGCTGTGCAGCATGTCAGGGTGTTAGAATTAGATGGTATTTAAGGTCCCTTCCAACCTAAATCATTCTATGATTCCATGATTCTACAGTAACCCCAAGGGGGAAAAAGAAAAAAGAAAATCAGCCTTCCACCTGGAGTTTTGACTCATATTCTCTTTCCTTCAAGTCTGACTTATTTGTAAAACCTTCTAATAAACATGAATCTGACAGTCAGCCTAATATGCTGGAATCAAAAGCTATTATTGACTTTGCCATATTGATCAATGGTGGCCCAAGCCCTGTAATAGATTACGGTGTTTCTCTCTAAACTCAGCTGCTCAGCTGTTCTCTCTCTGCATTAAATGAATGCTCCTCTGTCAGGAAGTGTTAAAATGACCTGGTTCAGAGCCTCTTGCTCCAGGCCTTGCCCTTCCATGGATTGGGTACATGATGCACTTCCAGAGCCACGTAAACACTGAAGCAGCAGGTTGCTGCTACTTTTTGGAGGTGTGTTTCATGTGGTACTTTACTACTGGATAAAACCCCTGTTTTGTCCACTCTTAGCAACGCACCCATCCCATTTCTCATGGCATATGTCATCAGCATCCATGCACTGTTGCTTCTCTGCTCCACTGTGGGCTGTATCCTCATCGTTTAGACCGGGTATTGAGCCACAGGGAGGCTTATTGGCCTCTCACACAGAAAGCTCATGCCTAAGAGGGAGTTTGAAGCCACTTCTTTCATGTCAGCAGCAGGTGTACGAAATGTTGACTAGCTCCTCTCTCCTTATGTTCCTTAAACCAACCTTCTACTCCCAGTTCTAAATTCCAAGAGTGTCGCTAGGTGAAGATAATCCTCCTCTGCTTGAGGAGTATGGTACGATGGCTTTTCCATGACATCAGTCTGAGCTCATAGGAACATGGAAAAGGAATATCTTAAGCCTAAAGGTGAGTTACACTTCATCAGACTGTGCAGTCATGGTCTTCTCCGTGCCATCTGGAGGTGATAACTGCAATAAGTCCGGAACAACACCAACCTCCTCCAATAAGTAACAGCTGCAACTATCTGGAAGGCAGTCCCTATGTTTTGTGCTGTTGTGGGATGGCATTTAGCCCTATGATCAGTCCAGCTAAGGTCCTAGTGGAAGGAATGTTTCATGAGGTGCACAGGGATTCAGAAAACACAGGCAATTTTGCTATTTCTACAGCTGCCCCTTCTCTTGAAGCCAAGAAAAAAAGAAAAAAAAGGCAACCACTGCTCATGTCTTGTGAAAATACGCAATTCAGAAATGCTTAAATGCAGAAATGTCTAAGGAAAATTTCTTCTTCTTCTCTGAACAAAAAGATGTAATCGGTACTGAACAGCCAGTTGCAAAAGTGTTTCAATATTATCTTTTCACAGGAAAAAATTATATATAATGTTCAAGAAAAGTGAAATGAACACATAAATGCTGTTTTCAGTGACACCTTATATTTTTCCCAGATTGCTCTCCTAAGTTAGACTATTTCTACTGGATTTAATCAGAATAGAAGCAAAAAATTAAAGGAAGGCAGAGATGTTGAGTGATCCACTCAAGATAGGTCTTGATTTTTCAGTGAGACCCAAGCAGGTCAGGGGCAAGGTGTGTACAGGATCTACCCAGAGGAAAGCTAACACTGGTCTTCCCTGAGAGCAAGCCCAGAGCCAACATTTCCAGATCTATAAATAAACAGCCTTTCGTTCAAACTGGGAGAAAACAAAACTATGCTGTGAAGCAAACAACGGACACTGGTATTGAAATTAAAAGGATGTGGAGAACATGAGAGTTTTAGAGCAGGTGGCATCAAACCCTTCCTGAGCAAGTCAAGGGCTCGGCGTCCCCAAAGCAACTCGGCAGAGAGCTCCCCAAAGCAATCTCTTACACAGTCTTCTGTAGTATGTAAATTTATTGAAATACAGTCCCCTTTGTCTACTGAGAGATGAGTGCGCTGTGATCCGTCCTCTCAACCCACACTGACACAGGCAGCTGACATAGTGGTTTTGAAGATTTCCCTTTTGTTTTTGCTGCCAGCTCGTGGGAGGGGGAGAGAAAGAGGAAGGGGAAAGAGGAGGGCGTAACGCGCCTGCAAGTGTGTGTAGGCAGGCCAAGAGAATCTGTGCCACTGAACACCCAGATGGCAGGAAAAATTCACCTTTTACTAACTGGATCAGTGGCAGATTTTTATAGCGTGTGGGTGGGAGAGAGGGCAGGGGCTGTGAGGAGGATGCAGAAAAAGCAGAGCATGTAAATGCACATATGTTTGCACCAGAAAGAGGGAAAGAAGGGCACACGGTGGATGAACAGGCTTCTATCTGCATGTGAAGAGTGACAGAGATGCACAGGGGAGAGAAGCTGAGTTATGGCTGTGTGCTTCAGGAGCAGAAGTCCAAACACCCCACAAACCTCTCCTCTGCCCTTCTGTGCAGAGGCACACAGAAGGTCTCCAGCTCCTGTTACCCTTGCAAGGTATGTTACAGGACAATTTCCTTCTCCCCAGATCCCTTAAAATGAGCTTTGAAAATAGTAAAGGCTGTCTGTCTTGAGCTGTACTTTGTCTACACCCCTTGAGGAGACACAGCCCATGCGCAATCCAAGGCTCACATTCTATGACTTCGTGCTCCTGACCCCGAGGCTGTGCCCCTGCCTGCACCTCTTTGCAATCTGAATTCCTACTTTTAGAAAGAAATAAGCCAGTGGAAATCTTTCAGACCTACTTTTCTGGGCTCCCATATATCTACATTAATAAACTAAACAAGGCCATGGACTGTTCTTTGACCTTGCAAGCACGAAATCCTTGCACATGTGTAGTTCAACTTTTTACCTTCTCCCCAGAAATGAATGGACTGAGTCCCACTTGCCTGAAACAATCTGTGTCATCCCTTAGACTGTACCTGGGGATCATGGCAGAGTGATAATAAGCATGGACACAAAACATAGCAAGGGGCATGCTAACAGCAAAATAGTATGGACAAACCCTTGCCACAGAATCACAGGATAGTTAAGGTTGGAAGGGAACTCTGAATGTCATCTTGTCCAACTCCTCTGCTCAAGCAGAGTCACCTTCTTGTCAGTGCTCGAGCCTGTACCCCTAATTCACCAGAGTACAGGGATCCTTAGGAAAGTCCTGACTCTTTAATCTTCAGGGATTGAATCACACAGTTTCCACTCATAGTTTTCATTTATCTGAGCTACCTGACATGCTGGACGGCTTGTGGTTCTTGGCACTCAAATACAACTCAGAGGGACAAGAACTTTGGCTGGAGCAGGTGAAGTCTGCTTTGACTGGGAACATATGGGATACACATAAACAGTTCCCCAAAGATGCAATTTAATACTTCTAAATATCCCACATTAATTGTGTGCCTGAACCAGTACTGATGCTCATCCTAAAGGTATCTGGAGATCCACAAAATTCTCTCCGTGATAGTAGGTGTAATGAAATGCATGGAAGATAGCTTAAGGTCATGACCATGTCACTTTGTGGGTATTTCTTAAAGATTTGTAATTGAGATCTGTTAAAAGACTGACTCCAGTGAGATCTGACTAGACTTGGGAAGATGTAAGGCTTTTGGTGGCTGAAAAGGAAAGGGAGAGAGGGATCATTTTAAGCTCAGTTGGAGTAAGGATGCAAAACTGCACAAAGAAAATCTGATAAAGAATGATCTTAGTCATCTTCAACAGAGACTGTGCTGTGATCTTACATCTCTGATATCCTCAAGCTATGGGTCCTAGGTGTTGTGTTTCAAGATAGAATGGACCATTTTGATAATTATTTTGACTCTCTGGTAACAGAGTTTAAGTCAGTAAGTCCCAGACTGAAAAAGTGTCCTCTGTATCCCTCAATCAGCAGAACAAGCAGAACTCTGTGCACGTAGAAGTATTTTGCCCACCATCTGTTTTCTGATAACTATGCAGGAAAAGACTGGGGTCTTCATTCTTGATTCAGCCTGAGCCACCAAAGAGATTCCCTGCATTGTGTTAACAGACAGGTATGTAAAAACAACTGGCACGTGCCATGGGGGAAATCTCTAACAATGCCTCAACAGTGAGTATCAAGGCAAACCTTTTCCAGTGCCTTAAAGAGAAATCTAAAAGCAAATGAAAATGGGGAAAAATAATCCTCTCACGTCTCCCTCCCTGAAGGCAGCAGATGCTTTAAAATTCACCAGACAAGGTCTGCCTTGTAGCAGACAGTAGGGCGGAGAGGGTGGCTGCTCCTCCGCTCCCCAGGCCTGCTCCCACGGATCTGCATGTGCAATTTTGGCATTTCCATAGATCTGTTTGATTGTTATGCAGATACTTGGTACAGGGAACTAGATTTGTTCCCTGGCTTTCCCTCTGTGGGGGAAGGAGCCTTGTGTGTGGCAAACAGCATGTCACACTGGCCATCCTTAATCCACCAACTGGCCAGTGACCAGGAACTGCTGCAAGCAGCACTTCCAGCTGACTCCAGCAGTTTAATGGCCCACTCTGTGTTACACAGAAATGCATTTCTCTGTCTGGTGATTACAAATGTGGGGCTTGACCCTCCACTCTCCCTCTAGCATTCTTTCCCTGACCTGGGGTGAGGTTATTCCCCACAAGAGGAGAAACCCTGCTGTAGAATTTACTGTGTTAGAAGAAAGGGGCCCCAGATGACCAGCATCAGTAATCGATGGTGAGAACCTCAATCCTTGTCCCAGTTCTGCTTCTGCTCATGTGAAATGAGAGCTGGGTATTTCCATCTCAGCTTATAATGAGCTGCACCTTAACAAGGGCCTGCTTATGAGTCCTCTGAAGTCATCTCCCTGTCTTCAGGAGCTTCAGACCCATAAGGAGTCATCTTCACAGACAATAGAATGATTATTAGATGTATAAATCAGTGCAATGACACTGACTTTTATGAAACCAGGCCAAAGTACATTAATGGAGAATTATTTCAGGAGCTTCTCTAACGAAGGAAGACAGTATTCCCTGCAAGAACACAACAGGGTTGCAGCTTCTGGACAAGTTCTGTTGAGCCATTGCTGTATCTCCCAATACCTTCCATGAAGTATTTTGCACAGTTTTGATCTCAAAAGGGACTACTTAAAATATATGTGAACTTTTATTTGCAGAGTGTTTATTTTCCTGTTTTTGGAAAAGGAAAATATAAAAAAAAAATTACACTACTGTAACAAAATAGGTTAAAGATTCCTTGGGCCAAATGGACTTGTATATTGGTGGTAATATGCAAAGTCCACACCTTTAAGTACTTATTGTAATGAACAAAAAATAATATATCTCTCAATTATACATATATATAAAATCAACTGCCCAGTCTGACTTCTTTCATAGCACTTAATCAAGGTGCTGCAAGTGTCATTTATTGTGTGAGTATCTCTTTCCTTTCTCAGCACTTAAGGTGTTGTCACAGGCATGCTAAATGGTCAGTCAAGGAAGCTCATTCTGAGCAGGTCTCCTCCTTCACAATGTTTTCCCTGAACACTTGTGATTTTACCAACTCATACTCTTAGATGACAAGGCATCATATAATGTAAAATTCTGTTGATATAGAGCAGATTTAATGAAAAATATATTTTACACTTTCCACTTCATCCTGAACTGGGAAGCAAAAGTCACTTTTTTCCCTAAATATAAGCATTTGGCCCCTCTGAGATACTCTGTCATCCAAACATTTGATATTTGAATTTGAGATAGTCTTCCCATTACAGATAAATCATTTTCAATGGATTGTCATTGGAACCAAGTATTTAAGATGATTATTTTAAGGACAGACAGGTTATTCATTCCCTCCACTGACCCCAGAAGGGGTGGAGATAATCAGCTCAGATGTAAATATCTGTCTTTTAGACATTTAAACAAACCCTGTTCCTGAAACTCAGCTTGAGTGGGGAAGTGGAAAAGGCTTTGTTTGTGCTGCAGAATTCTGTGGGCAGCACTACAAGTAGAAGATCCCTGCTGTGATGCAGGTGAAGCTACTCCTGTCAGTTTAGGAGCTCACTGAGCTCATGTAGGGAGTCTTTGGCCATCCCCGTACCCTGAACAGATTTACTGTTGCATCTGCGTTTGTGCCAAGAAAACTTATCCTAGTTTCTGAGTTGTGTAAAGCTCATACCATGGATAAGATTGAACTGGCATTATCAGAACTAAAAACAAGAATGTATCACCAGAATATTTTAATATCTCTCTGAATACACTGACTTTAAATGCAGATTTAAGCCAGATTCACCAGAATCTGAGCTGCTGCACAACACAGGATGAGTTCGACAGAAAACTGCATCCAGTTTCATGTAAAACTAGACAGAAGAAAAAAAAAACAAACCACAAAACCATCAAACCAAGATAACAACAACAAAAAGAAAGAGCTGACTTCAAAATTTGGAAGGGAAAGTATCAAACAAAGCAAAACAGCTGTGCTGCAAATATCACTAGTGTTTTTTGTTTTCATGAAGAAAGTTCCTTTCAGCAAAACAAAATTTAAAAAAAAAGTATGTTTGCCTGTATCATTATTCAAGATAAATTCCCAGATTCTCTGAGTACATGGATAACACTCTTCATTTGGGTTTTAAACCACAGGAGTGTCCTGCTGTGGACAATGGCAGTAAGTAGGAGATTGTGTAGTGCAGGAATAACCTGAGTTCTGCCTTACAGTTTTACTATCCAGCTGATTTCCCCAGGCGCTGATGCAAACATCTGGGCATTCATGTGCATGTTGACATTTATTTCTTTATTTTTTAATGCCACGGGGAATTGAGGATTAGGTTTGTTATTTCCACTAACCAGGCATTAAAATACCTTGAGCTGATCACGCCCTTTCTGAATTTTGACTGAAAATCACTAGGCAGAGGGAGGATGACACAGCCCTAGGAAATAGTAAGAGAGATTAATGCAAGCCACAGCGGCAGCACAAACAGCACCCAGATGTAAAGCACCGAGTAAACAACTTTTCCCTTCCTTTCACATCGTGGTAGATGAGCCACCAGAGGGAGTCCAAGAGATCTCCAAGAACTGCAGGATAAACAGATCAGCTTTTGGCAAAATGAAGGTAATTAAACATTTTCTACTGGGGGCTGCAGAGTTCAAACCAGAGTGAGCTACTTTAGGTCACTGCAAGATCTTCATCGTGGCAAAATTTCTCAGAAAAGCTAAATCGGACTTAATTTACAGTTTAACTTTTCCAAGAAAACAAAGGGAATAAAGAAGCAAGTTGATATTTTTAGTATTATTGTTGATGATAAAAATGTATTCCTAATTAAATAATATTATGTGTTTCTAGATCAGTGGAATGAAAAAGAAGGTCAGGTGATGGGAATACAAAGGGCAAATGGTGCCTTGTCTGTGCCACTGTGCATTTGCTCATGTGTATGGAAATACACACAGATATTTAAATACAAGAACGTTGTATACTGTTCATTCTTACTGTTTGGTAGCAGGGGATGAGATATGAGGTTTCACACTTCCTTTCAACTTCTAGTCTGACTGCAACGATGGAGGAGGAAACCAACTCTCATAGGGGACTAGAAAGGGGTGAAGGATGTCACAGGCTGCTGTTTATAGCTGTGATGGATAAATAAGGGGCTTAGGGACATGGTTTTGTGGTGGACTTGGAAGTGCTGTGTTAATGGTTGAGTTTGATCTTAAAAAGGTCTTTTCCAACCTAAATGATTCTACAGTTCTATGTCAGGTTAGACAGACACTACCACCGTGGAATTAATTCATTGCCCTCCTTGTAAGGTAGGGCAAGGAATAACACTGGTAGGCCAGAATTATTCACATGCCAAAAAAACAGGGTTGTGCTCTGTTATAGATCTTTTGTGGAAAAAGTAACCACACAAATGTCAGGAAGAACATCTTACTCAGGTCCTACTCCTCTCCTCTGGTCTCAGTTGGGACTATCACCTTAATGTCCAAAAGCTGAGCATTTTTCTTCAACATGGAGCTACAGAAGTCTTGCTTTTACCTTCCTTCTAGAGATTGTTGGCTGGAGAGCCAAAAAGTTCCTCTTTATCCAACCTGTCTTTTGTCCTACAGTAGTGAAATCCTACCAGACTGGTCTGAAAACAGATGGGTTTCTGCAGAATATTGACATTTTCAGCAGGAAATACATGTATATGTGGAGGAGGAAGGGATTCATACATTCCTGGGTAATATGGGGCAGACTGTATTTGCAATATCATGCTGGTAGTTGTAGCTGAGCTGTTCTGTACAAGAAAATATAGTCAAAATAGATGACGCAAGGGAAAGGTGAAAGAGGAGCTAAGAGATGTGACTATGGCTATAGAGTGGATTAGTGGCAGAGAACACCCTCATCCACTACACTAAAAAGGCTGTTCCTTCACCATATTTGAATTTTCCACTTCTCCCATGGCTGCACTGGATTGAATACGATATTTCTACAGGCCTCTATAGAAGAGTAAAGAGCTGAGATATTAAAAATAAATGGTGAGATGCTCAGGACAGTGATCTGGGGAGCACTTTGTCAAGGAAATCAGGCTAAAGTTGGAGATGAATGGCTCAAGCGACACCTTCTGGGCCAAAATCCATCCAAAGTCCGTGAGGTGAGACTTGAAAAAGAAGCCTGACCTCTTCCTCCTGCACAAGAAGTGTGAGATAACATTCCCTATCAAGCTGTCTGTTCTCTGGATCAGCAGATTAGTTGGAATGATTAGAAGAAAAGAAAGGATATTTTCCACTCATTTATTTACAAATTGTACCTAATGAATTATTGATCAGGCGAGTAGACCTCTGCACAGCCCTCTAGGAATCTGTCCTTTCCAAGTCACACTCGTGGCCCCCTGGCCTGGTAGGTCCAGTGGAGATGTTTCAGCCCTCACACTAATGGGGTATTTGGCTGCAGAGGCCACTGTTGTTTTTCTATTGCTTTCTCAGTGCAAAATGAATCTCATTAATTTAACTGAAAAGCAACAGAAAGGGGGACAAAAAAAGCCAAAGCTATGCATCTGTATGAGATAAAATGTTATAACCACCACTCCAAATCAGAAAAATAATTTCCCTGTTGTTGAAGCAGGTGAAGGATAAACACAAGATTCTAAGTCAAGAGATTTGAACTCCTTTCTTGTCTCTGCCACTGAAACACTGAGCAGGTCACTGACTGTATTAGCCAATGTAACTACCTGTCAGCAATAAGAGTGTACAACCTGTGCAGGTCTCATCCATGGCTCTCTTCACAGACACTGGGGATGGAACCAAGAGCCACACCAGTCTGGAGTGTAATTTGTCCAACTAAACACTGGTATCTGCTCAAGGCCAGTGTGAGTCATGCCCTAAAACTCACCATCTGTCCTTGTCACTTCTCCATTATCTATGAAGGGAAATGAGAATCAGAAGCCTAGACTGTATGGACCTAACCTACTTTGACCAAATGAACACCACCACTGATTAATCTGTGTCCCAGTATTTCTTGTTCTTGTCTGTTTTGTCTCTGTGTGTATGAGTGTAAACCCTAGGCCTTATTGTCACATACATGCAGGTTAACACTTTTATCTGCACCCTTTTGTTTCAATACTTCTTTGAGAAAGAGATGAACTAAAAATACAGGCATCAGAATATGGACCCTGGATAATAATGTGGTCTTGGATTCCACTGTACACAATACAGTGAGGCCCCAGTTTTCATGGTTGCCCCTTATCCTGCACTCTCAGACAGTAACAGCTTGAGCTGTTCCATGCAAGACCTTTCACCAGCACAAGGCAACATCAAGGCACTGAATTTAATGGCAATACTTTAAATTATATGGTTGAATATCTGTTTCTAATCTAAACAGCAAACATTTATGCTTCATGTAACCTCAGCTTTATTTTTTTCAAGGGAAAATAATAACTTTTTATTTATTATTATTGGGTTTTTGCATAGCTGGCAAGAAGGTTAGAGTCAGTCTCTTTCTCTCTCCTCCTCTCTGAATACCAGCTGTTCTTCATGAGGGGATATATGAGCAGTTTTATACAGTTTTAATATCCACCAGAAATTACATCTCACTGCCTTTAGGGACTGAACCTTTAAAATTCAATTTCAAATAAATATAATTATAAAATAAGGCAGGGAAAAAAAGGGCAAGAGAGGGAAAGAGAGTATCAAAATTCAGTTCCTTGCTATAAGAGCTTCAGGGCACAGCCAGTGGGGCTGTGTTCTTTAGCAACAGTAAGAAAAATGGCCTGGGGCTCTGAGATTAGCATGTTGATGTTTTGGTCACCTCTCTCTCTCTCTATGAAGCCAGAGATGGTAAAATCCCATGCTGAAAGAAGGAAGGGGAGCAGGAGATTTACAGAGGAAGTTTTCATATCTTCCCCAAATCTGACATGATTGGAGAAATATTGAAAGAGGAGAGAATGAAAACAAAACATGAAACAGCTGAAAGAAAGAAAGGAGAACTGTTGAAGTATCATCTCAGGTTCTTTCCCCAGAAAAGAGACCTACCTCCAAACAAGGTAGGGTCTCAGAGAACACAGCTGTAATTCTGGCAGGAAAAAAAGCAACCAAACCACAAGTACTAAAAAATCAACCATTCCAAGACCAACATTGTGGCTGGTTAATTTCCCTCAAAATATGACAGGGAGTAGATCATCTTGTTTTTAAAGTGTAAGACTAGTGTAACCGTGTGGACATGCCAGTCCTCAGAGAAGCATTGAATTTTACTTGAATGTGCAGTGTTTCTAACAAGGCATCATTTTTTACTGCAGCAGACTTCACATTAACATTAAATTAAGAAAGTCCTTTCTTACAGGTCTGGACAGACCTGACCTGATAGGTGTATCTTCTGCTTAGTGAAACTAAGGAAAACAAAACTTATTTAGCATTTAGCAGCAGTGGTCTGCTATTTATTGCTAGTAATACATAACACAGTGCTGTAACAACTGTTGGGACCCCAGTCAATGCTCATCCTGAGTATAACAGGCTGTGTTAGCAGGAGAATCAGATGCTCAGAAAGTGCAGGTAGGTGAGGGAGAGGTTGTAGAGTAGGACTTTGTTCCCTTGTCCCTCAGATTGTTGTGAATCCAGGGAGCACAAACATACTGGAAAAATCATTTGAAATCTGAGGATGGCCTGGTTGCAATTATGGCTCACCAGTTTGGTTGGAAATATCACTGGTTCTATTGGATTGATGAACAAATTCATGTTCATTGGCAAAAATAAATATAAAGGAGTGGCTTAGAAAGAAGAGGAGGTACTTGCACCCTCCACACTGGCAACAAATGCTCGGGGCACTCAGCAATTTGCAAGACAACTTTTGCATGTAGGTGCCCAATTCCATACCTGGCACCCCTCCCCTGTGTGCTCCCTCTACCTCACTTCCTGGGAGGGATCTGCTCCGCCCCAAAGAGAACATTAACACTTCAGAAAAGATGCACATAGTGTAAGTCATGTGGTCACAGGCTGTTTGGACCATGTGGGCTGGGCTCCAGGAGCTTATTTCTGATTTTCTGAACTAAATCTAAGAATGTATGTCCTCTGGAAATCAAGGCAAAGAAGACATTATGGGAAGAAATTTCACTGACAATTCTCAAAGTTTATGCCAACCAAATGACATAGTTGTGAAAGACTGAGCATTCCTGAGGATTTCTGAGAACTCAAAAAGTACCTAAAAAGAGGGAAACAGGTTTAATAGTCACAAGTGGAATTAGTAAACCAGAAAATAAACTGAAAAGGCCAAACACTTCTTTGGGTCACAAATCTCACGAAGTTGCTCAGAGGCCCAGGTCTTGCCTGGAGCAGATTTTGTTACAAGTTCTGTTCTGGGACCCAGTGATCCCAGGAAACCTTTTTCCTTTTCTCTAGCAGTTTTGTCAGTCGCTGCTGGGACTTCAGTGGAAATCCTTGGAAGTAGATTTCCTCTACAGCCTTTCCACATCACGCTCCGATGACCAACTTTGCTCAGTACAATCTGCCCAACCACAGCAGGACACAGTCACAAATCAGTCGGCACTTAGGGAGCCCCTTCACTTTTATCTCACCTTGCTCTCCGTCTGCTCCCTTCCCAGGCCTTGTCCTTTCTTACACAACTTGTGTATCATCAGATAA